AGAACCCACAAAAGAAAGAGTAAAATGAATTTACAGCCCCAGACAACCTGGATGGTTCATGGGAAAGGTCTTTCATATGGGGCTGGGAGAGGAGTGCAGTTCAGTGTGGGCCTCACAGGCAAAGATGGGCCCTCAGCAAACCTGGAACAGGCCTCAGGGGACTGAATCAAGGGGAACTGTGACAGTTTACAGACTTCTCAACCCACAAATGCCAAAGACAACTTAAAAGGTCAGTAGAAAAGGTCTGTTGGACCTGGGTCTGGCCCCAGGACTAGCACAGCCCCTGGGCATCAGCCATAGCAACTGAAGCTATTTCTGGAGCTCTCTGCCCACAGACAGAGCAGGGATCAAGTGGCTGATCAGAGGGAAATTTCTAGTGCTGAGGCAGGATTTTCTTGCTTTGCCCATGCTTGGATCTGGGTCACAGTTCTGGTTGGTGGTCCTGGGGCAAGGAGGAGAGCTGGCATGGTGGAGCTTGAGGATGCAGTGGAAAGGGAATCCTTCTCACAGTTCCAACACAGAAAAGAGTGTTTGTGGTCACTCATAGACCAGAACCCAGGCCTGGAAAGGACTAAACACCTTGCCTTTGATCCTATCACCTTGGAAGAAGTGAAAGTTTATAGGTCCCTAGAAGTATCTCAGAAAATACTTGCACAAAACTCCTAAAGCTTGGGACAGTGTACCCTCCACACTGGAAGTAGAGCTCTACCTTAACAAAGAATTAAAAACTCAAGTAATTGGCTGGAAACATGAGCAAATAGCAGAATAAAACTCAGACTATAGAATCTTACTTTGGTGATAAAGAAGATTAAAACATTCAAAGAGAAGACAACAAAGTCAAAGCTCCTACATCCAAAGCCTCCAAGAAAAATGTAAATCAGTCTCAGGCCATGGAAGAGGTCAAAAAGGATTTTGAAAAGCAAGTAAAAGGAGGAGAGGGAAAATTGGGAAAAGAAATGAGAGTAATGCAAGAAAATCATGAAAAATGAGTTAACAGCTTGCTAAAGGAGACCCAAAAAATGCTGAAGAAAATAACACCTTAACAAATAGCCTTACCCAAATGGCAAAAGAGGTCCAAAAAGCCAATGAGGAGAATAATGCCTTAAAATGCAGAATTGGTCAAATGGAAAGGGAGTTTCAAAAGCTCACTGAAGAAAGAAATTCCTTAAAAATTAGAATGGAGCAAATGGAAGCTAATGACTTTATGAGAAATCAAGACATTGTAAAACAAAACCAAAAGAATGAAAAAATAGAAGACAATGTAAAATAGCTCATTGGAAAAACAACTGACATGGAAAATAAGTCCAGGAGAGATAATTTAAAAATTATTGGACTATTTGAAAGCCATGATCAGAAAAAGAGCCTAAACATCATCTTTCATGAAATTATCAAGGAAAAATGCCCTGGTATTCTAGAATCAGAGGTTAAAATAGAAATGGAAAGAATCCACCAATCACCTCATGAAAGAGACCCTAAAAGGAAAAGTACTAGCCAAATTCCAGAGTTCCCAGGTTAGGGAGAAAATATTGCAAGCAGCCAGAAAGAAACAATTCAAGTATTGTGGAAATACAATCAGGATAACACAAAATTTAGTACCTTCTACATTAAGGGATCAAAGGGCTTGGAATATGATATTCTGGAGGTCAAAGGAACTAGGATTCTAAGCAAGAATCACCCACCCAGCAAAACTGTGTATGATCTTTTAGGGGGAAAAATGGACATTCAATGGAATAGAGGACTTTCAAGCATTTTTGATAGAAAGACCAGAACTGAATACAAAATTTGACTTTCAAATACAAGACTCAAGAAAAACATGAAGAGGTAAACAGGAAAGAGAAATCATGAGGGACTTATTAAAGTTGAACTTATTACATTCCTACATAGAAAGATGATATTTGTAGCTATGAGACCTTTCTCAGTATTAGGGTAGTTGGATGGGAAAAATATAGAGAGATAGATAGATAGATAGATAGATAGATAGATAGATAGATAGATAGATAGATAGGGGGCACAGGGTAAATTGAAGATGAAAGGGTGATGTCTAAAAAGTAAAATTAAGGGGTAAGAGAGGATTATACTGTGAGAAGGAGAAAGAGAGAGGCAGAATGGGGTAAATTATCTCACATAAAACAGACAAGAAAAAGCTTTTACAGTGGAGGGGAAGTGGGGGAAGGTGAGAGGGAATGAGTGAATCTTATTCTCATTGGATTTGACTTAAGGAGGGAATACCATCCACACTCAATTGGGTATGAAAATCTATCTTACCCTACAGGAAAATAGGGGGGAAGGGTGTGAAAGAGGGGGGATGATAAATGGGAGGGAAGATTGGGGGAGGGGTTTATCAGAAGCAAACATTTCTGAGAAGGGACATAAGCTTTTGAGTTTTAAATTTTTCTGTCCCTCCAGTCCTCCTCCCTCCCCAAGACAGTGCACAATCTGATATAGGCTATACATATGCATTTCTATTAAACATATTTTCACATTAGTGATGTTGTAAGGAAGAATTAGAACCAATAGGAGGAACCACAAGAAAGAGAAAACAAAACAGAAGAAAAAAATGCAAATAGTATACTTAGATCTGCATTCAAACTCCATAGTTCTTTCTTTAGATGTGGATAGCATTTTCCATCATGAGACCTTTATAGATATCTTAAATCTTTGCATTGCTGATAAGGGCTAAGTCTATCAATGTTAGTCATTGCACAGCATGGGTGTTACTGTGTACAACATTCTCCTAGTTCTGCTCACTTTATTCAGCACCAGTGATTTATCATTTTGCTTTACATTTCTAACTCTGAGAAAGGAACATTTAAAATAACAATCTATATCTTTAAAAATAATTTCATTTATCCTTAATTAATATCCTTAATTTATCCTTGATTACTATGCCATATAATGAATGTACATTTCACACTCAAACTGGTTGTCTATTTCTTTAAGCATAATAGTTTCATTATTTATCTTCACTGAGATTGTGAGGTTTTTTTTGGTATAATATGATGCAAGTTCTGCTTTTATGTAGATTCACCTAATTTGTAGTAAATTTTGTTCTAGTATCTCATATTGATTCATGTATTACGTGTCTTTTTTTATAATTCTGTCTTACATATAATACATTATGTTTTTCCCCTCATCCATTCTGTCATTTACTTTCATTTATTGAATTGTTTCTTCTATTTTTATATAAGTTTATAAATTTTAGGTCTCTGTTTTCCTTAATTTTTTATTTCACATTGCTTTTTAGATTTATTTATATCATCCTGATCTTAAGTTAGTACTTCATTCCTATGCTTAATTTTTCTTGTAATACTTTGCTGATTATCTATTTCCACAACACCTTTACTCACTTCTTTATGTTTACTATTGCCCTAGTTCTTAAACATTGTTTAAATTATTGGTATCTAAGTTCTAGAAGAATATACTAGCAATGTTGTCCATGAAAATTTTGCAGTTCTTGTGACATGAGGAAGTCATTTAATTTCTCTGAGTTTTAACATGCAGTTCAGTCATTTTCAGTCATGTCTGACTCTTGTGATCATATTTGATGTTTTCTTGGTAAAGATACTGGAGTGATTTGCTGTTTCCTTCTCCAGTTCATTTTTCAGATGGGAAAATGTCTTGTACTATAGAAATTGTATCATGTGCAATTTTTATAGAAACCACAAGGGAATTAGAAAAAAAAGAATTCCTTGCTACTTAACAACAACAAAAACAATTCATTGATGTAGGTACTGCCTCAATTCCATAGTCAATACATTTGTTCTTGCCTTACTGTTGGAAAAAAAAAATCATCTGATGGCCAACTTTCTTGTGATTGGTCACTCTGAAATTAAGCAGGCTAATCCTAGAAACAATACTCCATTGCTATGTCTACATTCAAAAAATTTTCCAATTTAGGGACTTAATGAGAGCTGGCACTAATCTGACACATCCTTGAAGAATTTAGACTTACCTCCACATCATGCTGAAGATTCAGTAGAGGAGATGGAAAAAAAAATCAGAGTTAGTACAAGATATTTTATATTAAGCTTTAGCAGTGTTATGGGATTTACTTTAAATTAATACCCAAGTATTGCCATTTTGGTGGAAATGTTTAGTTAGGTGTCATGTAATATAGGAAATGTTTTCTCAGAAGATTCAGCTTATGTTGTAATAAAAAGTCATATATTAAATTGGCTTAGTGTAAATGCTATGTTCTATTTGGGGGTCTGACTGACAGTATATAGATGGACATATTATCCTCCAGTGTTTAGATTGCTTATTTCCTCAGCAATCTTAAGAGTCAAATATAACAGAATGGTGGGTATCTTAGAAAAAATAAATGAAAACACCAGGTGGTTTTACTTTCTTTTATACTTAAAAATTTAAATGTTAGCTATAATGTTGCTTTTGATATTCTATACAGTGAAGTATTTATAAATAGTTTTATCTGTTGACATGACTTTTTGTCTTTTTGGCTAGGCAATGGGGTTAAGTGACTTGCCCAGTGTCACACAGCTAATAAGTGCTATGTGTCTGAGACCGGATTTAAACTCAGGTCCTCCTGAATCCAGGGCCGGTGCTCTGTTGACATGGCTTTTATAAATGGTTCTGGTTCCCAAACCAAAGGACCATAGAAAAATGATGGTAGAAAGGACAATGGAGATCTCCTGGTCCAACCCATCATTTTACAGAAAAGAAAGCTAAGAATCAGAAAATAAAGTAGCTAGCCCAATAACTCTCAGGGAAGCATAAATAAATCCTGTTGTATTATTTCCATGTGAACTTTTGAAGTGAGAGAGTATTTAATGTTGAAGGTAACTACTCTTACAAAAAAGCATTTGGTAGACATTCTTTACAGGATGTTCTCTGAATTGTCAGAGAAGTATTTGCATCATAAGCATTGACAATATTTGTTCCCTTTGTGTATATCATTTCTAGAAACATTATTGGGGTCCATGTGCCATCTTTCCTTTGTCTTTCTAGGATTTGATTTTTTTCTCTCTCTTTTTTTTTTACAGATTAAAAAAATCAACAGGAACTTCCCCGTAAACCAGCAGGTAAGATGAAAAAATACTTGGAAAATCAAGGGCATTTACTCAATATGTATATAATGTAATATAATTGTAATGTATGTAATTTATAGTCAAAATAAGGTGATTGACTTTCCATCTCTTGGCTTGCATGATATTCTTTTTTTTTCTGTTAGACTTACTTATCCATTATATTAAATATTTGTATATTTGCACCAAGTATTAGGGATTAAATTTTTCCAAATGTAAAGTTGTGCTTATGTTTAGATATCATAAAATTGGATTTGATCTAGATTTATGTGCAATTAGGCTTACCTTTCTTTACATTCAAATAGGGAACCTCAAATATAAAAACTTTGAATTAGTAATTCAGATAATCTTTCTTTGAGCATGTTCTCCTCCATTTTAAATTTTGCTGAAGTTAATGTCTTGAAGGAAAATTCAAGATCTATGATCATGATTTCATAGAAACCTGGAGCTAAATAGGAAATCAGAGCATATAGCTCCATACACTCCTGAGTAAAATTCCTTCTCCTCATTTCAAACAAATCAAATTCTAGACCTGATATGAAGAACTCTCATGAGAGAGATCATCCTGCTTCCTTTTTAAGTAGTCTATTTTGCTCATAAGTAACTGTTATTGTTAGGCTCCTTCCTTGTTTTAAGCTAGTAAAGCTTAAAATTACATGTTTTAGGGTATATACTGGAGTCAGCCTAAATCCATTCCTCTACAAATATCAACTATTGTTCCAAGTTTTTCTTCAGTTATAACAGTTCTTCAGATACAGAGTTGTTTTGCTCTCCTAACTCTTTATGTTCCCAAAGCTAAACATACCCAGTCATCAATCCTTGTCATCCATCCAAATAATTTTTTAAAATAACTTTGTTGCATTTAACCGGAGACTTCAGTTTGACAGCAATTTATTAATTAATATTATTTGGTTATGGTTATCCAAGCAAATCCAAGTCACCTAATTCTCATCTCGTTCTTGTTGTTTAGTTGTGCTTGACTCTTTGTGAACCTGTGGACCATATCATGCATAAATGGTCTATGGGGTCTTCTTGGAAAAGATAGTGGAGCAGTTTGCTATTTCCTTCTCCAGTGAATCAAGGCAAATAGAAGTTAAATGACTTGCCCAGGGTCACAAAGCTAATAAATGTCTGAAGTCAGATTTGAACTCAGGTCTTCCTCACTCCAAGCCCAGCTCTCTCTGCTAAGCCACCTAGCTGCCTCCAATTCTAGTCTCATACACATCAATCCATTTATTTCTGAAGCTCTAATTGATCAGTCTAGATGACACATATAAAATACAAATGAGATTAGTGCTGTAATGTGATGATGAACCCAATTAGATTATAGCGTTCACCCTTTCTGAGTACATATAAATATTCCTTTGAAAAATATGTTCTAGAATCTTGCAATCTGGTCCAATTCACTGATGTTAAAACTTTCTCTTTTAAAACTTAGAGTATTTGTCAGTGAGTAAGCTCCTTGAAGATTAGGGAAACTTTCTTTTTTTCATTATTTTGTGCTCAGTAAACTTAAATAATGTATTTTATTTTTTAAATAAATGAATTGTTTTTGCCTGTATGAGTCCAGAGCCTAGTGCCCAAGGCCATTGGTTATGGTAGTAAATATGATGCATTTTACTACAAACATCCTACATATCTCTGATACAACTTCATTTCATAATGAAATGATTATCACAAGATGGCAACTGAATTCTTAAGTTTTTGACAGTGTCAATTAGTACAGATATACAACTAACTGATGATTAAGAACAAAGGTTTACATATTAAACAATTAGAATCTCTCAGTATTTTAAAAAAGTTTATATTTATTTTAATAACTATGACTTATTAAGTAAACATAATCTAAGTTTTACTTACTATAAGAATGATAAAAAATAACCTTCCGTTTCTCAGCAAGCAAATACATTAGTACCCTTGAGCTTTTGCTTCTGACCTTTTGTTTAAGTTGGTATTTGATTCTAGTACCTTAGAGTCCTACGAGGTTAAAAATCATAGTTTTTTGCTGGATGTGTTGAAAGTTTGAGAGACTAAAATTAATTGTATTTTCCTTAGTTTCCATTACAATAGTCTAAAATAATAATCAAGAGATTTTCAGGAATGTCAGTCTACACTGTAAGATTTTTTTTTAAGGTACTGTAGATTGGCAAACAATAGACTTGCTTAAAAAACAAACTTGTAATTGAAGAAGAAAAAAAAGAAGCAAAACTATGAATTGTAGGAATATAACAAGCCTATAAGTACCCAGGACAACATTTGAGTTCGGTTTTATTTTGTTTTGATTAGCTTTTACTTAATAGGCTATGCAAAAAAAGTGACATTTCAGAGGAGGAAGTGGAAAAACACACATACATTCTCCACTGTGGGATTTAGGGCTCAGAATAAGTATTTGACTGGATACCTGCCTTGGGCCATAGAAATGTTCAGTTGTTTCCATAGCAGATGTTTCTTCTACACTGATTAGAATTTAGAATTTTTGAAGCTTGGAATGATTTCTACAAAAGTAAAGATCGATTCACCAAATGTATGAAAAGTGTCCGCCACAGGATTAATGGCTAAATGTCATTACCTTTATATATTAACTATATATGTAATTCTGGATCATATGTAATCACCACTACCTTTTTCCACGTGTCTTTTAAATAAATTCAACATAGACTTATTGAATTACAAATTTGACCACTTAAGTTATTTACTATTAAAGATGGTTATAATTGTTACTGTTATTGTTTTTGTTTCTCTATATATGTATAGGCTATACATTTTTAATCAAAACACTAGAATGATAAGGTGGACTATCAAAATATTTTGATGCAACAAATTTAAAATATACCCATAAAATTAATTCATTATATATATATATTTAATATAATGAACTTTTTTTTTACAATTTCTCAAGGTAATATTTTCTGACTAAAATATTTTATTTATTTCTTTTAAATCTTTGGGGTTTTCACTATATTGAGTCCTGGAAACATATTAATATAATATTTAACTAGGGAATGAACATGAAATTTAGTTATTTAAATATTATGTCTTAGAATGTAGACATATAATGCAAAAGTGATTATTTGATGGAAATCCAAACTGACAGATAACTTTTAGATATATCCATTTTTAACTATTGCCTAAAAAGAAAAATGAGGGTGGAGATAGAATGGTGAGGAAAGAATGAATCTCCACAATTTCATGATTATTTTGCTATGGAAGGCCTAGCACTGTCTCATTTACTATTGCCTCTAATTTGTGGGATAGAACACTGAGAATATGAACCACTCCATCTGAAGGGTAGAACCTAGAGAAGGTAGCAGGACAAGGAGTGAAATACTAAGGAAAAAACAAAGTAGTATGCTTTCCAAGTTTGAAAAATAGCACATACAGTGACAGATGATTGAATATAGGTACAAGGATCCAAGAAAGAATGAGTGGAGGAATTCTCACCCATTAGAAAAATGGGTTCCAGGAAACATGGTAAATTTAAAAAGGGTTGAAATAGATTCCTGCAAATGAATTTTTTTTTGAACCTGCAAACAAATGAATTACACTTTGTTTGCTTAGTGACTGCTGAGGGCCATCTACTTTTCAAATATCTTCCCTCCTCTTCAATTCCAAAGCAGTCCTCTTATTTGTCATTTTCTGAGTTATCATCAAATGATGAAATTTATATGAATATCAATATCAAACAATTGCAATATTATGTCATTGTGTGTGATATAAATACTTGGGAATGAATGATACTCTCAAGAGAAAACTGGATTATATCCAATTCCACAAAGATTAAGATCCAACTATGTATTAGGCAACATGTGGATCTAGCAATGAAAGACAAAATGGTCTTTGCTCTGAAAGAACTTGCAGTACATTGTTGTTGTCTTTTCAGTCCCATCCAACTCTGAGCTTCACCTTATTGTTGTGCAATTGTTTTCAATCATGTCTGACTCTTTGTGAACCCACTTGGTGTTTTTCTTGGCAATGATACTGGAGTAGTTTGCCATCTCCTTCTCCACATTGTTTTACAGGTGATGAATTGAAGCAAACAGGGTTAAGTGACTTGCCCAGGATCTCATAGCTAGTAAGTGTCTGAGGCCAGATTTTAACTCAAGAAGATAAGTCTTCATGACTTTGGGCTCAGCACTTTATCCACTATGCCATTTAGCTGCCCCACCAAACGTTAGGTGGGTGGGCATATGTCATAAATATATAAATTTGATACAAAGTACAATGTAATATGTTAAAAAGGAGAGGTCCAGAGAAAGTGTTTTAAGAAAGTTTGAAAAAAATAAAGACTACTTTCAATAAGATGGGTTGGAAAATAGTTTCTGGAGGAGGTAACACATAACTAGGCCTTCAAGAAAGTCCAGTGGGGAGAGATAATGAAGGGTTGTATTCTAGGCAAGGAAATTCCTGTATCAATGAATGGAGATAAAAAATGATTGAATGAGATTGGGGAATATATTTAAATCATATTTAACTGGAATATAGCATGGAGGGGAGTAATGTAAAATAATACTGGAAAGTTTAAAAAACTCAAACTTCCAGACTAAGGAGTTCGTATTTTCTATAGGAAACAGGACTTCTAAGGAGTAGAAAGAAACAGAATGGGGCTATTGAAAGCAATGCATAATTTGATAAATATTGTCTAGTACAATCTCCCTCCTAGTCAGTTCTAAGCCATTTCCTTTCCACATATTATCTGTTCAGGACAAATCAATATGCTTATAGATAAATAGATAATATATAGAGAGTCATGAAGATATCTAAATATATATTATATATATAATATAACACAGATATAGCCTCATATATATATATATATACACTCAATTATTTTTTTCTTTGTTATCCCTCTATGGATTATCAATCTCTCTTTAAAAATATAAAATTATTATGTATACATAATATATGATAAACTTGAAAAACATGAATATTTCAACAAAGAAAGAGGAAGAGGATTGTATATATAATTACAAACCTCTTTAGAGTTTCCAAAGCTTTTT